CGCGACGTTAATAAATGGAGGTGAGCGGCGGTATTTTCCAGAAATACGTTCTTCCCGCCGACGATTTCCCATGTTTATCCGTTTCAGACGCCGGAGAACCAGGGCACGCCGACCAGACACTCGGAGCAGGTTTTCGTCACCGATCGATCGTGCACCGACATCCTGGCTTTGATCGTTCTGATCGCTCTCGCAGTCGGTTACGTACGTCTTCTAGCACTGCCTCTTCTTCATGCATTTTCCTTTCCCTCCCCCATTCTCAACCCCCAACCACCGATCCTCCCTCGCTCGCGCTCCGTCTTCCACCCTATACATCGGTATTTCGCGATCCGCTCGCGAACGCAGCCAGAATGTACATATTTCCCGTTCTACTTCCGGCGCAGGGCTTTCTGGTGAGCAACGCGCTGAAGAAAGGAGACATCTACCGCGTGGTGAACGGCTACGATAACTGCGCAAACGTTTGTGGCCGGGTCACACCCTCGGAAACTGATCCCCAGTTCAGATGCAAGGGTGCGGACAAGACGAACGAACGGTAAGCAACGATCCCCGTGGACACCGAGTGCCGGCCGCTCAACCGGAAATTCGCTGGAAAATGTTAAAGGCCGAGTAATTAGCTCGCCCGGGCACGCTGATGGAACTTTAATTCGTACCGGCGCGCCGTGAACTTCCAACTGACGATTGACTGCACGTGCCGAACTCCTCCGGCGCGTTTTTGACGATCCGATGACCGGACGACGCGATAGATCGTTGTTTTGCGAGAGAATTAATTTAAGGGTAGAGTGGAATTCGAGAAGTTTGAACTGGAAATTTGGAAAGTTTTGGTAGGTAAGGGAGCATCGAGAATTGAGCGTCTTGTGTTTTCTTTGACACGTTGTCTGCCACGAAAACCTTCGGAATTTTATTTGTTACTCTTTTGTAGCAAAGATAAAGAGGAACAGTTACTTATTATTTGGTATCGCAATGCGTACGTTACAACGTTATCTAATTTACGCTATAAAATATTTTCATTCGACATTAGTTATCTAACGAATTATAATTACTGTTAAGTAATTTTGAAGCTCCGGTCATCGGTGACCGACGTGGCAGTCAACGTGTTAATTTAAACGTTTTGGTATTTGATGATCAAGTTCTTTCGGAAAATTAATTTTCATTTTGGTTTAATGGAAGATTCGATTGAGATCATGTTGGAATCTATATAAAAGGTTCCATTGGCCGCGAAATGATTGGGGAAGAGGAATATTGGCTTCGTTTTATCCGATACGTTTTATTCTTTAATCAGTCGACGCGTCGAGTCGTTTAGCCTTGGAAATTAATTTCTACCGTGGCGTGATTAATGAAGATTGAAAAATTGGAAGATTGAGAAACAAGAATTTTGTCTCCCATCCGATCCATATATCTTCTGTTTAACGATCGACGCACCGAGTCGTTCACCGTTGAAAATTAATTTCTACCGTGGCCGGTTTATTCGGAAGGAAACGAGTTCGAATCCGAGCGAAAAATTTCGTCAGACGCGGAGGATTGAAAAAGTAATCCGCCAGGAAGAATCTTGGCTTTTTAGTTTCTGTTGCGCCGGGCGAATTGCCTCGATTTTATGGGATTTTTATGGCCGACTTTTCGGCAGGCAGCCTGTTAATTTTTGGTGCGGATAGTTTAACCCGTCCAACCAATCATCCAGGTTTTCCGGGGCTAATAATCCTGTCTCGCGGATTATTAGTCTCGCATGTAGAATAGTTTTCCCTGTTCCATTATTTACTGTATCAATAATACATCAAATATCTCCGTGAATTTGATTAAAGCCTCAGCCTCGTTGTGTATTTCCGCGCTAATTTGCCCACGAGAATCAACGTTTCGCCGATGACGACGAGCTCCGAGTAAATTTTTGCGTGCCGAAAGGGATTCCCGCGGAAAAATCGGGAGATTTTTTCAATTCGCCGGGAATTCCGTTTATCCCCAAGAATTTTCCCCGATAAAACGGTGATTATTACGGTTAGTATAAACGAATTATCCCGTGTACAGGCGAAATTGAAATGATTTTAATCTTCTTACCAAACAACCATAAAATTTCCTTTCGCTCTAGCGGATGCTTCGTTTCCTTCGTTACTGTTTTTAATTGATTTTATCGCGAGCGCGGTAATCGTTCCACTCGCCGGCGAAATTAAAACGGAATCGACGCGTCCCGCATCGTCATACGACAATACACGGTTATCCGGGGCGCGGACCGATGCTTGGAATACCTAATGCTTATTTCTTCGGTTTTGATCAATACTATCTTTTCTCCGCGCGGACAATTCCGCATTCTATTTTCCTCCGACCGTTGTATATTCTGGTCATCCGATGATTAAATCGAAGATTATTCTCCCATTCAAATGTTCCGTTCGGATGGAAATATTACATTTAAAATTATGTTCCACGTATGAAATCCAACGGGAAGGTCTGCTCGGTTTTATATTTAAAGGAAATACAGTTTTAATATATTTATTGATATTTATCGAACAATATCATTTCTATCGTTACTAACCCTAATCGTACCAGGTGTTCCTACAACGAATCATAACATGATGTGACTCTCAATCACTTATGAGAATAAAAGGAATGATTAAAACGTTATTGTTTTTGTTTATAGGACACAAATTTTAAAAGCCCAAACAAACTTTTGGAAATACAATACGAAATGATCAGAACATTTAAGTAAAATGTTCAAATATCACTCAAAGTCACATCGTGGTCCGATTAGGGCTAATGACCTCTTCCCAAAGTGATGGTAGTTAACCATTCTGTAGAATGATTCATCTTAGGAATCTTGAGATGATACGAATCGTGTATTTTGAAAGTGGCTTAATACTAGAACTACCGAGCATTTAATACGATTAATATGCGAATAAAAAATGTAATAATAGATTATTTTCGATTTATTCAGATATATTATATTATTCAAGTGAAACTGTTTCTTTTCAAGATCATTTCGAATATTCAATGCTTTCAAGATTTCAATAATTGCAAAACGAAAACATCGAAACTGGTAATTTCGACTGGTACGGTAGTTTTAGTATGAACTCCATTTTCCAAATCCTACTTAACCCCATTCTATACAATGACGAGCGAGACTCATGATGAAGATTTCGGGATGAATTTAATTAAAAGCAATGTTGTTCAATGCGCACGGATCAAAAGTAAGAAATTATTTTTCTACTACCAATATACTATCTTGAAAGTAAATTTGCGCTTAAAGCAGAGAATTTCTTCGCGTTTCCTCCAAATTGTTGACAGAGAGATTTTGCACGAGCTTAACAGCAAAAGTAAGTCACACTAAGTAAGTCACAGTAAGTGACAATTCCAATTGTATATTATCCTTCTACTCCCAACAGATTCTTCTCTTAAGTCAACTGAAGCCGCCTTCAAACTGAATTACTCAGGTTATCGGTCCGAACTTTCTGGTATACCTAATATTTCCAAGCCACTGCGTATCGTTGGTAAAAGACTCCATAATTTAACAGTTTTTATTTGATAAGAGGTTACGAGCGAAATTCACGCAACAATAATAATGAAAGTTTCCGCGCGGGAAGAACTGGGACGTAAAGTAAGGATACGAATATAATAAAATTCGAACGAGCTACTTACTCGGGCCGAACGTTCGCCGCGGTGAACCCGCGAAATTGTAAATCGTTCACGGTCTGAATGTTAGTGTTCAATTTACCACGTTCTCCCTCCGGCGCGAACACAAAAGTGTTCCCTCGCCGGGATATCAATGGGCGCGCGAGGTCTCTATTTATTTAGACGAAAATATTTCCGGGGATTTCACGTAAACAGAATAACGGCGGCATTTTCGCCGACTTCGAGGCGTGCTTCCCCAGAATTTTAAGTTTCTCCTTTTTCACCGGTATAGCAGAGCGGCGGAGCCACGCCGCGAGCCCGCGCTGCGCCGGTTTGAAACGTGTCGGTAAAAAGTTCGCGTCCAACTTTCCCCTGTATCCTGTTACCCGGGCAAAAATATTCGCTGAATAAATTTGTTAGCGCGCTAATCCTTTGCGGTCGAAGCTGGGGATATAATTTTCCGCGTGCGCGCAAGTTTCAGCCCCCCGCCCCGGGGGCTCCGCGCCGCGTTAGAAATTAGATCGTGTCTGTGTCTTCGCCGCGGCTGAGCGGAAAAATCCGCGATCGTTCCGCAATTTCTTCGACAATTTCCTGCCGGAAACGATCCTACCGCGGTTATTTTAACCCTTAACGGTCGCGAGCGGAACGGTGTTTTTATTCATATTTTTTAGGTCACCTCGCGAATATTGTTTTTTCATTTGTTTTACTCGGTGAAACGTTTTTTAATGAGATTTGTGAAAATTGCAGTGAAAATTAATCGAAAAATGGAGAGAGGTTTCGTGCGACGATGGTCAATTAAAAATGGACGGTTGAAAAACGTGTTAATAAATATGCGTGTGTTTTAATGAACACATTGACATGATGATTCGGTTCTTATATTAGTAGTTAGCGTGAACAAATATTGTTCACGAGATGATTTAACCTTTTGCGGACGAAGATAATTTGAGATATACAAAGTCTCCAACAATTGAAGTTAAATTAAATATCAATTACTGAATTAATAGGAAAAAAGGAAACTACGAGCTGATCTCTTGCTGTCAGAGTAATTAAATCATTTCTCTGCGACTTAGTCTTCCAAATATTAATACTTCATGTCTCCAAAGTGTCGACATTCGTCCGCAAAGAGTTAATATTATATTTACTGTGATTTCAAACATATTTTCTCTTTTGTTGGATTAAGTATTCTACGGATGTTTCTATATGTAATCAGTATTCTGCTGTTCCGTGGATGAAGTGAGTATTGCTAAACGTTTATCGTTGATTGTTTCCTCGGAATATTCGGTATTTCGAGCTGAATCCCCCGAAACGCGTCTACAGACACCGGTATCTTCGAAACTGGATAAAATTATTCGTCGAACAAAGTTGTGCGCGCTAATCCCCTCAGGTAGACGCGCAGAATTCGCTCGGAAATATACTTACGGCAAGTTCCGTAGCGGACTTCTGACGGACTTCTGATTTACACATTTTTCATGGCGGAAAGAACGAGTAAAGTTTTTGAACCGCGGCGAGGCTGAACTTCGCTTCATAAACGGTGTTCGGATAAATTGAAATATTTGTAATAGCAACATTGTTGCGGGAATCTCCTGCTATTCGTTTACGAGTAATCCGTGCGAAAGTTTCCCCGCGCGAATATCCCCGGATAAATGTCTGCAGTCAATTTGCGGAAGTCTCTTCAAAACTGTGTCATATTCCCTATCAACCAATCGATTTTCACTTATCCTTTAATCTTCCCGTTCAAGATCGAGAACAATCATCGACCCTAAAACATATTTGTAACGCTAACGAACTAAAGTTCATTAAAATCCCGTCTCCGTTAAAACAACGCCGAAAAAGTACCAGCGACATCGAATAAAAAGTTCATTTGCAAACATGATTCCCAGCGAACTTTAATTTCGAACAGACTAATTACTTTTCCATGGGCACGCTCTAATTTCCAATAAATTTCAAAATTCCATTTCCCCGGCTCACGATAGAAAACACATCGAACCGAACCGATACGCGGCCGACCCAGTTCCGAAGGCCTCGGTCGTACCATCGCAACGCGTCACGTGGCAACGGGATCCGGCGGCATAAACATCACACCGTGTACCCATAAAATCTGCTAACGCGTTAATATCGCTGTTTCGCGGGCCGGACAATGCGTCGGGCCGATATTTTACGCGGTGGTAATGAATGAAACAAGTACGCGGCAATGAAAGCGCGCCGCGCCGATTAATATTTCGTTAAGCAGTCCGCGGCAGCGGCGACGCCGTAACGAGACGTCCGGGGCGCGCAAATTGCGCGGGCGAAGGGGGCGGATGGCCGGTCATCCCACGGCCGATTAAAGCTAAAAATCTCCGCGGAAAACTTACGCGGCGGCCGGCGAGAAATAATGCGCGTGATTGCCGTTAATGCTCCATATAAATTCTCCGAAGCCCGGCGAACACTTTTCCGGCGGATTTTCCAATTCCGGCCCGACACTTTCCGCGGCCGCGGGTTCATTAACACCCGCCGCTCATTAATAATTCATTTCCCCCAGGTACCTGCTGACGACCGTGGGCTCGAGTGGGGTGAAGGATCGCACCTGCGTGTCCAACTGCACCGATCAGTTAGTATTGCATAATGCACGGGTTTTCGTTTAAACGAGCGTCAGCCGAGGCGAGCGACTGCCCCGGAATCGTTTGCTTGCAAAATTCCCGGCCCCGTGCCGGGCAATCAATTTTAAATCGGTCGTCGAGTGTTTTCGGCGGACGGACCACCATTTTTTTCCCCTCTCCGTTCTGTTTTGAAGCCCGAGCCGAAAGACGGGACGAGATTGATCAATTCATTGGATCGGATCAATTATATAACGCGATCGTCGGATCAGTAGAATGTTTCTCTTTTTTTGTTCTTTCTTTCGAAGGGTTGAAATGTTGAGATCGTGGAAATTCGATGAAATTAAAATTACGCGGTGGTTGTGCGCGGATGTTCGATAGTTCGGGGTTTATATTTATCGGTAATCCGGCACGCCGGGAAATTCGGTTTTTATCTTCGAGGGGATGGCGATGAGAGAGGTACAGCAGTCGCAGTGTTAATGAAGTTTTAAAGTAGAATGTCTTTAGCGAGTTGATTGCGTTACCGGAAACCGAATTAGTCGCGAGGAGGTATAAAGTTGTTAACGTTGCTGTTTGTGCCCTTTTATTTCATATTCATTTTTAATTGCGTTCTCTCGTCGCCTCTGTTGTAATGGGGAGACTGATGTACGACGGTTTCAATTAAGGGGAACGTTTCTGATCGTTATCTTCGATGAGTGTGTTGATAAGTCTCAGAAATTACGTGTTTTTTCGTGTTTGAAAATGATTGATTCGGTTTGACGTTACCCTTTCGCCAGGGTAATATTCCTGAATCGATGCGTGCCGAAGGACCTGACCGACACGACCACTTCTCTGATCAAGAAACTTGGTTTGGAAAATTTCTACAAGGTCGGTAGCTACATTTTCAGTAAAAGTCGATTACAAGTACGTATTGTGAACGTGTTTGAACGTAGATGTTTTGTGCTTTAACCATCTCGGTGTGATCGTCAGTTGCTAAGTAATGGTAGCGGTGATCGAGGGTGGCAACCCTTAATTAGCCAGTAGGGTGTGGTCAAATTATGCCATTTCATTTGTCCCGTGGAAATTTCCGTTGGAATTCCACGCGATAATTAAAACTATCTTTTACGAGGAATAAACATCGTTATATCTGACATTGATAGAAAAGAACAATTCGAGAAATTTTCATTGTTAAGACTGTAAATTCAAGTTAATACAATTAGGACAATAGTCAGTATAGTTCATTTATTTTTCAGTCGATTTCAATTGACCTTATCCTACGATTCACGCAGTAATTAACTCCTCCCGCCAACGAACGCTTGAAACGCCATAAATTCAATATTCAAAACAATCGGAAACAAGTGTTCAATTATTCTAAATATTTTCAGTAACTTAATAGAAACACAATAGAAACTGTTACATTCGAATGATTGGCAGTCTCCGCCGACAACGAGTTACGTAAAACCATTTAACCCCCAGCTGTTAGGGCGGAGTTAATTAGACCTCGATCAGGGAAATGAGCAAAATAGATCCGACTCATCTGACCGAACACGTGACTTAGTTCGCATTGCCGTTGCCTCAACATTCCAGACATTCGATCATCGCAAAATAACGTTTGTTTATTATAGATTCATATTTCTTACAATCCGCTTACTGCGTTCAACAGCCTGAACGAAGCCGAACTGCACGAAGCTTCAAATAGATTATGCGTTTGAACGATTAAAAACATTAATGAAGGAATAACGTAGAACATTAATCTTAATAGACGATCGATTCTGGTTGCGCGTTGATGAAAAATATGTAAATATTTCAGGAGGTGTCGAGTGATCTCACTGTCGCATGGCGAGAACTGATCTACCTGCTGCTTATAGCTTTAGGTACGCGTTTCCAGCGGACGTCGTCCGCCGTTATCCCGGATCGGCATCCTTATCATTTTTTTTCTCGAATGACTTTCAGCTATCTCGCTCGGTATCTTAATTGCCTTCCGGTATATGGTGCAGTGGGTCGTTTACATTGTCTTAATCGGCGCCATTCTCGCCTGTATCGGTGGCTCGGCGTACCTCTGGTAAGCGCATCCCCTTTGTAACGAGATTTATCTGGACACGGTAGTGCGCGTGACCGACAATATGGCGACTAAAGCCCGATACACGCTATCGGTCCGCTCGATATTCTTTCTTTGTTTATCGTTTTCGATGAACGAAGATAGAACAAGATTAAAGTAAGACCTTGCCAGGATTCATAGTGCGAATTAGTATTGTAAAAATGAATCCTCGGTCTTGAGCTTTGAATCCAGTAGCCACGATTCAAGCTTTAAGAACTTAAGCTCTCAGGGTTCAAAGTTTTAGCTGTAATCGCTGAAGTCTTTAATATTTGATCTTTTTACCGCAAAGACTTGATCGTTGGTGGTTTTAAAGTTTAGATCGTGCTTTCAGAGTTATTAGCTGTATTTTCAAGCTTCGAAGACTCAGCATTTAAAGTGAACTTAAGTCTTCAAAGACTCGAGCTTTATAGAACTCAAAGCTTTAAAATTCAACTTTTAAGGTTGAGGTTTAGAGCTTCAAAGACTCGAGCTTTATAGAGCTCAAAGCTCTGAAATTCAGCTTTTGAGGTTGAACATTAAAGTTTCGAAGACTCGAGCTTTGTAGAACTCAAAGCTTTCAAGACTTAGTCTTTAAGGTTAAGTCTCGAAGCTTCTGCATTAAAAACACTTGAGCAATATTTGATCGAACCGAATATAGACCAAGAGCTGATAGTGTGTGTCGGGCTTAAATTTTTCAAGTTACTCCATATCGTCTTGGGTGTTATGTTTCTCTAGGTACGCATGGTACGGGGAGAAGAAGGCGGTGGGGCAGCACCTAGTACCCGAAGAAGATTCCAGTGAACAGGCCTACTTCATTTATGCGATCATCTTGTCCACTGTTACGGTGAGAAACGCCGCAATGTTCAGCAATAGATCGGCCAAAAAGTCTTGTCGTGTTATTTCTCAATGTGGCGTTTATATTATACCGTGACTGTCGAATAGATATTAGAAATAAGCAAAGTAAAAGCCGCTAGAATGCTTCCAAATAAAATACCTAGCGCATAGTTCAGTGAAATTTAATTCAACGAGATGAAATTTTTCTTTAAACCTCATTTAGAAATACGACGAGACTTTCTGGCCAACCTACTTCGGGGAAATAAGAGGATAGTCGTCCTGACACATTGTACGCGAGCTATTTTGCTCGTTTCAACTTGCTCTTTTTCGTTTATTTATTCGTTTAATACCGTTTCTTTTCTCGTTTTCTTATCGAAAGTAAAAATAACGTCGATCCTAATGAGATATTAAATTGATTACCGCCCACGACCAGCGTTACACGGAAAGCTTATCTTTATATGACCCGCTTATTTACAATAAACTGACATTTCACCAGAAGACTGTCACCGTTTTCAGTGCCCGAGCGCGTTAGTCGAATCGTTATGAATTTTTGAAGTACTACTTTTTCTCTCTATGAATATATCAGCATTCGTTTTTATTGATTTGAATTCTATAGAGATGTTTTCGATTATTTAGAGTTAATACTATTTTCTGCTTTTGGATATGTGACTCTTAGAATACATTTGTCAAATAAATTCCCGTAGGTAAAATGTTGAATTATTTTATAGCTGGGTCGAAGAAAGATTTAAAGTGCAACGAACTGCATAAGTTTAGAGAATAAAGGAAACTCCGAAGGAATTCTTTGAAACGGAAGAAGTCCTTCTTTACCACCGCTGCATTAAGAATTATAAATATCGTTATGAAGATTTATCGATCCCTATTTCCGCCATTAACGCGAATACTTGACTCGTAACACTATGCAAATGACATTCTGAAATAATCGTCCCAGTGGGAGGATTAAAGTCATGAGGAACTGCACATCAACTAATTAATTATGAACATTAAATCTTGACAATTCAGTCAGATCCGCTATTTGTCGAGCATTTGCAGATTAATGTCGTCTCAAGTGAGTGAGATGTTATAAGCCAATAATTCACTCTCTAATCTGACAAATGGTAACTAAATACCCTTCCATTAATTTCGATATTAATTATTTGATGCTTCCAATACCAACCAAAGCTCGTATCACAGAAGTAGGAAACTATATAATCGTTCACAGTTTAATTCCAATAAAAGAACTCCAATCGATTCTATCTTACACCCAAACTACATGTAACAACCCTTAACACTTAGGCAACCGCCTAAAGAACACTACGACTATAACTTTTCTCATTAACTTCAATTCACTTAATTGATTCGATTGAAAACTGTTTTGTAAAAACGTAAAAACTCTTGGACGAATTACAAATAACTTAACTTCTAATTACAAGAAAACCTCCGAGAAAACATAATTATCAGAAAACAGCGCAAAATTTCTTGTACCGAGTACATTGATTTATAGGTGATCACGCTCCTAATTGTCCTGGTGATGCGGAAAAGGATCGCCCTGGTGATGCAGCTGTTCCGCGAGGCGGGCAAGGCGGTGTACGCGATGCCAGCTTTACTGCTCCAGCCGATATACGTAAATATGCGACGACAGAACGATACGCTGGAATCAGACGCGGAGCCTATCGAGTACGTTGGAAATCATATTTTCAGACCTATGTGCTGATCGGGTTCACGGTGTGCGCGTGGGCGTACTGTATGCTGTGGATCGAGAGCGCCGGCAACATTTACATGAACCGGAAACAACATATCCACTTCAGAAAAGACACGCTCTTGATCGTAAGTTGATGGATAAGCTTCTAGAGTTTATCCCGCGGTCGGGAAAACGTTAACGAGTTCATCCGCGACGTGTTTCCCCCCTTTTTTCCGATTTTATTTCTCGCATCCGCTCCATTTTTCCCCGTTTCGTTCCGCAGGTGGGCAGGTGGTACAATTTGTTCTTCTTCTTCGTGACCTGCGAGTTCCTCCTCGGCTGTCAGCACGTCGTCGTCGCCTGCGCCGTTGCACGATGGTTCTTTACCAGGTGACACTTTGATCAATATCATAGTTTACCGGAGGATTGCTTTCCGCGCTGGAAATTTCCATGGGACAGTTCCACTCGTGCACGCGGACCTCTGTTTAGCGCCGTTTAGACTGCTCGATGTAATATCAACGGTTTAATCCTGGGAATACTGGTTCACTCGTTTCTCTTTCATTCATTTGGTTCCTTCGATGATCTTTTATTCTTTGATACTTAATTATATTAATTAATTTTGAAAATTAGACGATGAAAGCTTCGGTAGGACGAATGTGAATATTATCCCTTTCTCTTTACTTCGGAATGAAATATTCTTCTATTAGCAATACTCAATAATTAACCCTAATCGTACCACTTGTTTTTAGAACGAATCATATCACGATGTGACTCTCAGTCACTTATGAGAATAAAAGAGAATGATTAAAATGTTATTGTTTTTATATATAGGGCTCAAATTTTAAAAACACAAAAAAGCTTTTGAAAAATGCAATATGAAATAATAAAAAGATTTAAGTAAAAAGTTCAAATATTATTTAAAGTCAAATCGTTGTCCGATTAGGATTAAAGTAAACGTATATTTACAATGAACATAGAATTCCGAATTGTCTAGTATATTAATAAGGATAATAAAGAGAGTAATTAAAAAAGAAATCGTAAGCCAAGAAGTCGCCAATGAATCATTTAAAATATCGTTTATACGTACTCGATATTTCTAAAACTTTAATTGACCGTAAGTGGTCTGCTCGATGCATTAATAATTCGGTATCTGTAATCTAGATATTCTTACCGTAAAACTAAAAACGAAGCTCCCCGAGCCGGACAATCTCAAAAGACGAAGAACAATCCGAAATTGACAACCATTATCCTCAGCTGATCGATCAAAATGTTTCCCGAGAAAGAAGTTCCGAGTGAGCGATCTTAAAGCATTTAAACCTTCAAGCCATTCCCGAATCCCGGCTCCGAATTTATGTTACCGGCGGTAATTCGGCGAGCTCACGATTAGATCATTCGCACGCGTAACGCCGCTAATACGATCCCCGTATCAGAAGAATGCTCATGAATGACAATCGAAGGAACCAATTCCCGTGTAATCGGTTCCCGGATAATCGAATTCTTAATTGTCTCCGTTTACCTGTATGTATCAGTGAACGGTGGCCCGGCTAGGGAGGGGGATGGAATTCCGATTAACGACCACCAAATTGCAGAAAGCAATCCGAAGGCCGTTGGGACGATAAACTTCATTAAGGAAATATTTTCCGTGCAGGGACAAGAAGCGTCTCTCGCTGGCTGTAACACGCGGGTTCGGTTATCTCGTACGATATCACTTAGGTACGGTCGCGTTCGGCGCATTGGTTATTGGTATAGTTCGGCTCATAAGAGCGATAATTTCCTTCGTCCAAAAGCGCCTGAAGCGGTACGATAACGACCTAGTGAGGGGAATATTGTGCTGCTGTCAATGTTGCCTCTGGTGTTTCGAGTGCGCTCTGAAGTTCCTCACCAGGAACGCTTACATCGAAACAGGTATTAACCGCTCAAGTACGGGAACGTATTTCGCGCGGATCAATTCGAGCATCTTCAGCTTGAAATTTCAATGAAAAATCTTGCCGAATACGCGTATATGCCATCGTATGAAATCATTCTAGAATCAGTTATTTAATATACGGATCGTTTAAAGGATAGAATCATTGACCGCGTTGAATCTTGTCAAACTCGATTGCTAAAATATTTGGTCAGTTCGTTATATACGTAATCGTATCAAATTTTTCTTGTTAATCATTTTGCGAATCATTTCGGTAAACGTCACGTGTTTGATACCTTGTGCAACGTGGAATTCTAATACGAGTCTAATGATCGGGAGCAGTTTTAATTGAAACGTGCCCGAACGAAGATCAACAACGCGTGACCGCCGAAAACTCGGATGTGTTTTTCCGAAGAATAAAATATACAATACAAACATCCAATTAGAAGAGTGCACGGGCAATTCGGTAACAGCGGCGGATATTTGGAGAAGCAAAATAATCTGTTGCGTGGAACGGTGTATTAATCAGCGCAGAATTTTCTCGGGGCCATTTAACCGTGTCACACAAGGTATTGCACACTGTGTTCTTCCGGATGAATGAATAAAGAAACGGGACACGCTTTTACGGGTTAAATTATACGGGACACGCGCGTAAGGCGGATAATAAAACGCGAAGAATAAAATTGTAATAAAAGTATCGTTACAGCGATATACGGTTGCAACTTCTGCACGGGAGGAAGGAAGGCGTTTCACGCGTTGTCGAGCAACATTTTAAGAGTCGCCGCCATTAACAGCGTCGGCGACTTCGTTCTCTTTCTGGGAAAGGTTTTGGTCGTTACATTAACGATCGTCACGGGTATTTATCTCATGCAGGTACGTTCACATCCTTCCATCGTGCGCATGCACCCGCGAGTTCTGTTACACCTAATTCTCTTCCGCGTTTAGAAGAAAGAGGGTCTCCATCATCCGTGGGTTCCAATCGCGCTCGCCGGAGTGTTCGCCTTTTTGGTGGCGCATTGCTTCATCTCCATTTACGAGGTAATTCAATCAACTCTGAAAAGACTCTATTAAAACGTCGTTCGTTACCAGTGACACGTATTTTTCGCAGTCTCGCGATTCGTCGTGAAAAGAATTATATTTCACGAACGTACCATTTCAAGTTACAAAACGCAATAGGAAGTTTGAAAAATTAATCATCCCGCTTTGTTATGGTTCTTGAATATTTCGCGAAGAAACTGCGTTTCGTTCAACTGGTAACATTCTTTCTGTGTACTCTCCGATAACGTTATAATGTTGGCAGCTTAAGAAATGTCACCGATCTTTACATTCTATTTTAAAATGTTAAACGGAATTCATCGCTGTTCGCTGCATTCCGGTTTCACGGGTATTTAATAATTCATGTAATTGCAGATGGTGATAGATACCATATTCATATGCTTCTGCGAAGACTGCGAGAAAAACGACGGCATCAGCAGGCCCTACTTCATGAGCTGTGGATTAATGGTGATTGGAACTATCATCGATCCTTCGTTCCCTATTCAGAACCCGTATTTAATAAAACCTTTATTTCAGGAATTCGTGGAGAACAGCAAGAAAGCTTTAAATTATCTGGATCACCAGCCAACCGCTCCTCACTCGTAATAGATCAGGCTTAATGCTCGCTGAAAACCGATCCAGCTTCGAACTGAGCTTTCAGATACCTTCGCGGGCCAGCCAGGGAATCGGCGAATCATTCGACAAAGCGAATACACCGTGCGATTCCGAGCTTGACGTACTCGTTCCAATTCTCTCGAGTTTTATTAAAGCGTACGTGGGAGTCGGCAGTTCCTGCATCCCGGTTTTCAATTTGCGCGTACGACGCGCACGTGGCGCGAAGGCTGCCGGTAGCGGCGGACAATTTTGATCGGCGTCTGACCTCGTTCCGTATCTTGCGTTTTCGGGCAGGACGATGGAAAGGGGCTCAGTGGCAAAATAAGCGCGGCGGGGAGAAAGACTCGCTGCATCCGGCGAGCACAGAAAAGGCTGATAAAAATGAAAAACATATTCTAGAATAGAGAACGGAATATTGGGAGGATGATTGACACGTGGATCAATTTATAAGGCTTACATCGAAATTCCTTTGTACACAGTAATTATTCGTCAGAACTTTGTGTTTAGATGTAGCAACTTTATTGTTTCTTGTTCTTTTTATTCGTAGAGGTTAGCGTATATTTATATTCGCGTGTGGAACACTCAAGGGAGAACATAATTTGTTAGGTTAGGTGGTCGCAGCGGCGGCCATCTTGACTATCGGACTTAAGAAGGAACTCGTCGACCCAGATCTAGACAGCTGAATTACTCAGTCGAACAGAAGATACCTCGCACTATAATCAGCTCATCCTTTATCTTCTCTCAGACGCCGCGCGAGATATCCAAAATGGTGGACAGGCCGTATTGTCTGAGACTTAAGTTGTCCGCCTTGAATGGCACCGTACGCGCACACATTGTTCTTTCGCAGCGACGGATGAACATTATTTGTGTCATTGCCTTCGTATTACTTCGCGTCTTCGTGGCTGAAGACTGGCCGAATAAACGACGGCTTGAAGCATTTTGCGGCTACGATCGCGCGCAATCGAACAAACTCATTAACATTCCGATCAGCGAGAAGTCGATGTATTTTTTTATAGTCGATCGTCTCTCTATGACGTGTTTCAACTAGACTTAGGTACGCCGTTTCTATATGTTTATTCGCGTTTGATATCATGCGGTTGCCACCGCAACCATACGCACAGTGTTCTCTCGTTACTGGGTATATAATTGAATATCGTTGTTTCCCGTGATTTTTTTTAGAGATATCGTTGATACCCTGTAATTATCAAACGAGCTTCTGCCAAACAGCGTAAATGCTAAAGAACGAATTTTACTTAAGCGTTAACTTAAATATTAAACGTTAAGAATGACCTATTATCTTCCTAACATCGTGTGACTTCTCTGTGTATAAATGTACATCGATGAACGTGCTTCGAATCCTTCGTCTTTCGCGATACAGTTTTACCAAGATCTAGTTTAAAGTTGAAGACAGGCTTACCTCTCTTGTCGATTGCTCAAAGTATCGAGTTTCCACGGTGGAGCCGGGCGTGCGACGTGTAACGAGGGAATACTGTAAGTTAGTCGGAGAGCGGAGGTAACGACAAGTTGCCGTTAAGTCGCGAGCGTTTCGATATTTCGTAAAAGTTTCGTGGAGGACACTCGGCTGCCAGGGACAGTTCGAAAACCTGCCAGTACAGTGTGCGGGATAGATCAAAGGCGATAGCGCACCGGCGAACCGCGGGGGTAGAGATACGCGGTCCGATAATGCGCGACTATCCGAGTAATTGCTGGAACATCGATCGCCATGTTGTATATATTTTTTATTTCACGCGAGCCCGCCCACCAATGATGTATTTCCTCCGCGTATGTCACGTTTTTTGATAATCGATCGTACGCGACGCGCGAGTGCAGCGTTATTTTCAACGTACCGCGGAAGCGTTAGCGCCCTGCAGTTGCGAGCTGATCAATTACTTCGGGAGATAGTATTATAATTTTAATAAAAACCGTTTCAACATAAACGCTGCGCGTGTGTTTCCTTCTGAGAGATTTCTTTATGTTTTCCTAATGATTCTGGATTTCGTTTCCACTGGAAAAGAACTAAGCGAATACTGCCATACGAGAGTCTTTGAGATACCGTGGACTTGTACAGTGTTAAGGAGAATTGGTCTAATTTCGAATATTGTTTCATTATCTACAGATTGTTGTTTATGTTAAAACTTAAAATTTGATTTAAGTTTAAACTATCCCTACCATTTTTACTCCATTCAAAATATTCCAAGTTCCTTGAAGTAATAGGTGACAGGTCCTTATAAAATTTCAATTTTCATACTGAGAAACTGCGAAACTGAGGTAATATAACATTCCTTTTTCCATATTCAATCTCAATAAACTGAAAGTAACATGCAAACAAATCAAATTCCACGGAAACTCCCATCGTATTCCTCCTCAATGAACATTGAAAGCTACGAACTCAAAAATCAGTAACCTGCCGATTGCCTGGCCACAATACCAACCGATGTTCATTCACGGAAAACCAGGAGCAGAAGAGTGAAGGGGCAAACCAGACACAGATAGTCAGCACAGAGCTCGCTATTCGTTACTTTTCATTTATTCGATTCGGGCACACAGTTATTGCATGAATGATTATGCGCGCCGGCGGCAGAAGACTAAACTCCTCTGTCCAGCGGCGGCACGCAAAGTGGATCGTTTTCGTTACACTCAGCTGGCAGTTAACTTGGGTCGATATTTACGAAATCTAAAGCGGACACTTTGTCGTACATATGTATGCTCGTCGTTATTCTTCTTCTTCTTTTATTTATTTTATTCGCGTCATATTCTTTCCTCTTTTTTTTTGCATTTTCTTTTCTTTTCAAGACCGAGACTTGGGCGCTTGATGGATGTGTGTGTAGTGTACGGCGTGTGGTGTGAACTGCGTTTCATGTCTGTGTATGTCCTCTGTGTGTGTGTACATGTAAATATATGTGATATATATTTTCGCGTGTACAGCTTTATCGCGTTGGTTCCGGTGGAAAAAAGATTCACTTACAAAAATTACCTCGGGACATTGTACTATGTGTGGCGTCGTCGTCGCCTCGACGACTTCAACGGGACTAGCGAACATGAGTTAGCGTAACGCGGCGCTTCAACTCCGTGAAGCAGCTTCTCTTGGGGGATAGGCGCGATTCTTTCCGTTTTCCTCTACATCTCCGTCCTCTTATCTCGCCCAGCACACCGCTACGGTCGATCCCTCTCGCCTGCGAAACGCAGAGGAAAAACAAATGCATTCGCGAGATCGGA